ACGACCAGTCAACTCGGAATATCCTTGTGGAATAGTCATATAAATCTCTTTGTCTACGTCTCCATTCAAGAAAGCATTGCTTATATCAAGCTGAGCTGTCGACCAGTTCTTTGCAGCAGTAAGAGCAAGTAATAAACGCAAAGTTCCAAGCTTAGCAACCGGTGAGAATGTGTCTAAGTAGTCCAAACCTTCTAACTGAGTATAACCCTTAGCAACAAGTCGAGACTTAGGGCGTTCCACCGTGCCATCGGGATTGAACTTGTAAGTATTGACCCACTTACAACCAACATGATGTTTGCCAGGAGGCAGCTCACAAATGGACCAAGTACCAGTCTCCTCTAGGGAATTCATTTCAGATTGCATTGACTTCTTAAACTCATCACGAAGAATGGCCTCTTTATAGGTTTTAGGAGCCGTGACAGTGGTGATGTTAATAAGAAAAGTACGATGAAATGAATCAAATTTATCATAGGAGAGAAAAGCTGAGATAGGATAAGAAGTTGTATGAGTAGAATGAGAAGGAAACACAGACTTGTTAAGCAGATAACAGTGATATTGATCAAGATAAGCTGGAGCTTTCGTTTGACGTTTAGTTCTGTGAGAAGATGGTATAGAAGATGTTGTAGAATCAGATGATAAAGAAGGAGTACGAATTGGATCAGGTTCAGAACTATGAGAATTATTAGAGGCAGCAAAATCGGAAGAAGCATTATGACCAATATCAAAGAAGGCTGGAAAGGGAGAATCAGGAACTGGCATTGGTAACACATGTTGACCAAAGAAATCATCATCAGAAGGTGTAGATAGAGTTTCAGAAAAAGGAAAATTGGTCTCATGAAAAACAACATTTCGTGAAATAGAAATGGTGTTAGTGTGAAGATCTAAAATCTTGTAACCTTTATATCCGTGTGGATAGCCAAGAAAAACACAAGGGGATGCTCGTGGTGAGAACTTATGACGATCTTTCAACAGAGTAGAAGTGAAACATAGACAACCAAATACACGAAGATGTTTGTAATTTGGAACCTTAGATGTAAGAAGTTCATAAGGGGATTTGTTATGTAATAGAGGAGTTGGTGTACGATTTATCAAATAAACTGCAGTCTGAACACAGTCTCCCCAATACTCCAAAGGAACTTTTGATTGAAAAAGAAGTGAATGAGCTACATTGAGGATGTGTTGATGCTTTCTCTCAACAACAGAGTTCTGTTGAGGAGTATAAGCGCAAGAGAAATAGTGAATAATGCCTTTTGATTGAAGAAGAGATGAAAAAGAAAGTTCAGGTGCATTGTCAGTTCGAATAGCTTTGACAGAAGCATGATATTGAGTTTCAACATAAGCAAGAAATTCTGGAAAAACGGTTGTAACAGAACTTTTAGATTTTAAAAGATAAAGCCAAGTTACTCTAGTGTTATCATCAACAATCGTGAAAAAGTATTTATATCCATCAATAGTAGGTACATGGAAAGGACCCCAAATGTCAAGATGAATCAAATCAAATGGTGAAGAAGAAAGATTGTTCAAAGATGAAAAAGGTAAACGTTTTTGTTTTGCAAGAGGGCAGATTTTACAAAGATGATCATGAACAATATTATCCTTAGAAAGATCTAAATGTTTGGAAAGGATTTGAATCTTGTGATGAGAAGGATGTCCTAAGCGTTGATGCCAAACTTCAGAAGAGACTTGTGAAATATGATGAACTTGACCAAGAGAAGGATCGACAGGAGCATTAGAATCCAGGATATAGAGATTATGTTGGAGGTTACCCTTCCCAATCATGTAATCCGGAGTATGCTCTTGAATAAGATCAAGAGGATTGTAAGGGAGTATGTAACATGAATGTGAAGAAAAGAGAACAGAAATGGAAGTGTCCCTAGTTAAAACACTAATGCTAAGAAGATTAAATTTGAAATGTGGAACAAAAAGTACAGACGTGAGAGTGAGAGTAGAAGACAGAACAACTGTACCAGACAAAGTTACAGAGATATGAGTACCATCAGGAAGAGTTACGGAAGTGTTAGAGATCACAGAAGTGTTAGTGAATAGAGCTAAGTCAGAACAAACGTGGCAACTAGCACCAGTATCTATCACCCAAAAATGTGTCGAAAAAGTAAGGTGGTCTTTAATTCCCGCAGAAATGAAATGAGTATGAGAAGAAAGAGTACCTGAAGAAGAAGCATGATTATTAGTAAAAGAAGGAATGAGATGAGGCTGTGGCTTAAAGTTTGAGGTTGATCCATCGGAGAGCTTAAGAACACTGCCTGCAATCTGAGACTGTTTGATCTCATTACTAACACTGTTAGCATTGAGAACACTTAGAAGTTTCTGAATTTGATCCGATGTGACTGTCCCCAAGCGTGCACCCTGATGATCATGCATAGTAATACTTCCTGAGTCCTGTGTAAGATTTGCCACGGTGGTACCTTTAGCATACTGTTGCTGCTGAGAGCTAGACTTGTTAGATGGCATGTCCTGTGACTTATTCGCCGGCTGTGACTGCTTGTAACCTTGAGGATATCCATGCAGCTTATAACAACGATTCACAGTATGACCAGAGAGTCCACAATGAGAGCAGATGGGACGAGTCTTCTGTTTGTTATAACCTCCAGTGTAAGCAGCAACCACAGGTTCAACAGATGGTTCTGTTTGAGAAGTCTGGAAAGTCACATTGCTGGTGGACTTCATAGATCGTTGACGTTCTTCCTGACAAACAAGATTGAACACTCTGGATATAGACGGCTTGGGATCCAACATTAGTATCCGTCCCCTAGTAGCCGTGAAAGTCTCACTGAGTCCCATAAGAAACTTGAGAATGCGATCCTGTTCATCTCGTTTGACCAACTGTTTATGACTGGAACAATCCAAACTACCACAGCAACATGTATAAGGCTCCTCATGAGTCTTGAGTTCTTCCCACAGCTGCTTGAGACGAGTGTAGTATGCACTCACAGTGTTAGAACCTTGAACCTCAGAATAAATCTGCTGCTTAATATCAGCAATACGTGGTCCATCACTCTGCTTAAACTGATCATGAAGATCATCCCACATCTGCCTAGCCGTCACTAAGTACATGATACTCTTTGCAATAGACTTGTCAACAGAATTCACAATCCAGGTGCTCACCATGTTGTTACAACGGGACCAAGATGCAAAATCAGGATGAGTTTCATCTAATTCAGGATACGTTCCAGTAACAAACACAGCTTTATTCCTAGCACCTAAGGCCATAAGCATCGATCTACGCCAGCTATTGAAGTTTCCGATTCCAGTAAGCTTCTCAGAAACAAGAGAGATACCTGCGTGATCGGCATTATGAACGTAGAGAGGATTGGAATTGGGATCTGAGAGCGACGGTGCAGATGGAAGCGGATGATCAGAATCTTGAGCAGCCATCACGAATCCAAGAAATCACCAAAAAAAAAAATGAAAGACGAAGCGAAATCGAAGCAAGAATCAATCGATTCAAAAGTCAATCGAAGCCAGAAAGAAAAGTCTGAAGCGAAAGATCGCAAGAATCTGATGGATTAGAATCGCGAAGACCTCGAACAATAACGGATGCAAGAAAGCACTCATAATCCTGGATCGAGAAGAAGATCGGAGCTGAATCGGAGTGAAGCAAAGCGGAAAACAAAATCAGAATTGCTCTGATACCATATTTGAAGTGATGAAGGTGATGAAGATAAGATTCGAAGATGAAGAAGCTGGACTTTGAAAGGGAAAGTTTGTTACAAACTGATGAAATGAAAATTGTATTATTCAGCTCAAAAAGTAAACTGTACATCAAGTGTCTTATATATAGTGTTGGTTAAGCGAAAGGAAACTAAACCAACTAGTAAACCGTAATCAAACCGGTATCTATAATCTTAATACATCACTTCAGCTTTGGAATCTTTGATTCTTTGAACTTTCACCTTGATTACTCTAACCAAGGTTCTTCCATCTTCAGCTTTGAACATCTCCGTTTCTTCAGCTTCAAGCTTTTCTTTTTCATTCTTCTTATGTGCTTCTTCTTGACTCCAACTTTAACTTTTGCCGATTTTAATCAGAGATACAGATAATCACAAATCTAACACAATATTTGATTCTCTTTGGCATAAGGTTTTTCAAATCGCATACATATTATGGATTTGGCTTACTTTTGGGAAGAACTCATGCTATTCTCACGACTTCAAAGTTGCAGTGGTCATAGTGTTCACGGGGTAATAGAAGCTCTAAGCTATAGACAGAAAATAAAATGTTGACTACTTACTATGGATCTTTGACTGTTTTGTTTTCTTTTCTTTTCAGATTAGGAAATAAGTCTAAGCTCTTATATTCTTCAAGCAGTTAATTCGAATGTTTTTCTCAAAAAAAAAAAAAAAAATCCAATATGTTCAGCAAATTGTGTGATGGCAAAGTGCATCCGTTAGATTCAAACATTAGCATGTAATAATATCGATGGTTACATACAATTACCGTACTTTAAAGTTCAGGAACCTTTTCTTAGAATTTAATATAAAAAAATATCTTGAACTTAAATATTAATTGAAGCAAAAGAAAATACACACGTTAAATACATCATTTACACAAATCAAAATTTAAAAAGTATAAAACATATATGAATTCCAACCTGGAAAGCAGATACATAAAAAATGATTAATCAACTATAATTGATTTATTAAATTATTCGATAAGTACTAATTTGGGCATAACCGTGATAAAAGAGGAAACTTCTCTTTCTTGAGCCTCACATGAAAATCCAGCGTTTTCAATTTTTGTTGTTTGTTTGTTTGTTTTCTTTCAAAACAGTTTCAAACCATCGCAGAGTAGTACCCATCACCCATCTCTCTCTCTCTCTCTCCCTTTCATTCTCCCCTCTATTTTGGATCTTTCTTACTTACGTGCACACCAAGGAAACAAAAAAAAAAAAGAAACTGCTCTTGTATTTCATCGAATTCAATATTCAGATTCGTGGTGCGTTAGGTTTGCTTTTCTTTTTCCTCCTCGGGACAAAGAGAGAAATGGGACAACAGAATTTGATCTACAGCTTCGTGGCTCGTGGCACCGTGATTCTCGCCGAGTATACTGAGTTCAAAGGTAACTTTACGTTCGTCGCTGCACAGTGCCTCCAGAAGCTTCCTTCTTCGAACAACAAGTTTACCTACAACTGCGACGGTCACACTTTCAATTACTTGAGGCTGTTTGTTTCTCCGTTCACATGAGCCATCTAGATGGAGATGAAAGTTTTGTTCGTTTAGACATTAAAAGTACAAATCATCTAGATAGTTCATCTGAATGACTTTTGAAATTATATGTTTAATTTTAAAGTCCATTTGAATGGATCAATTTGGACCATTTGGATGGAGATAGTGTTGTCAAAATGATATAATTTCTATTATACCCCTAATATAATTCACAAACTACAAATTTAAACCCAATATTATTTTCTAAATCATGAAAAATGAGAAAATTGCATTTTACCCGCCAAAACTAAAAAATGTGTTTTCCCGCCAAAACCAAAAAACATGTTTTTCCGTCAAACCTGAAAAACACGTTTTCCCACCAGAACATCTAGATGAAGTAGTTGGATGGAGATGACAAATAGAGAAACAAACAGGCCCTTAGTCGTAAATGGCTTCAGTGAGTCTCTCTTCTCTCGTTCCGAACACAGTTTTCTTGGATATGATTCTCATTATTGGTTTGTATACTTATGGCATTTGTTCTGCTTTTCTAAAGGTCATTTGTGCCTTTTGAACATGTTAAGGTTTCTTGCCAATGAATGTCCGAAGTTAGTTTCCGTTTGTATTGATAGATTTATGTCGAATCAAGTTATATGTTTTTCTTTTTCACTTACTGCTGCTACATCTCTTGGTTCGGATATCTCTGGATCTTTGTTTTATTAATGATCTGATTCGGTTGAGATTTTCATGTATGACTTATTTTTTACAAGTTTTGTTTTTTTTTTTTGCTTGATGTTTGATGAACTGGTTCTTGATCGGTAGCATGCGTTTATGAACTTAGTTCTTGCTCTGACTAGTGTACAACACAATAGGATTTGACTCCTGGATCTGACAAAAGAATGTTTGTTTGTGTTGTGGGTGTGGTTGTGGTTGTGTAGCGTATTATTGTGTTGTTTCTGTTGAATCTGTTGGGAGGCAGATTCCAATGGCTTTCTTGGAACATGTTAAGGAAGATTTCAACAAGACATATGGTGGTGGAAAGGCGACCACTGCTAAACCCAATAGCTTGAACAAAGAGTTTGGGTAATTTATAACTCTACCATAAGAATGTCAAACACACAAACTTCCTCTTTAATTAGTCTCTGTGGATATCATTTTTTAACTTGTTTTTTGGTTGTAAAGGTCTAAACTGAAGGAGCATATGCAGTACTGTGTGGATCATCCTGAGGAGATTAGCAAACTTGCTAAGGTTAAGGCTCAGGTGACGGAGGTGAAAGGTGTTATGATGGAGAACATTGAGATGATTAGAATTCTGTTTTTTTTCCCCTAATGGTTAGGAGGTTTTGAGCCCAAAAGCCCGTACATCTATTAGGACGAAGTCCTAACCATGTTTAATTAACAACTTATGCAAAACTTACACCAAAAAAACTTATGCAAAACTAACTGAACTTTGTGTAATTCCTTTATTTACAGGTCCTTGACCGTGGAGAGAAAATCGGGCTTATAGTGGACAAAACTGAAGACCTTCGTTCACAGGTTACTACTTTTTACCTTTTCATTCATGTGTGCAGAGCCGGGCCTGTGTTAATGGTGACCCATTCCAATTTTATTTTTATTCTTGTTTTTGTTGTATTTTAAATTATATATGAAAAATGACACACTAAAATAATTTATATAAACGAAATGAATATATATATATATATAAAAAATTATTTTTTAATCACATAAATTATTTAATTTTTGTTAAAATTAATTAGCATTATATATAAAATTAATATATAAAAATAAGCATTTGTAAAAAATTGGGGATTTTTAAAAATAAATATATAAATATATAAATATATAAATATATAAATAGATAAATATATAAATATATAAATATATAAATATATAAATATATAAATACATAAATACATAAATATTTATAGTCATACACAAGCAGTTTCTCATCTCCACTGTAATAATAAGCTCTCAACGGCACCAAGTTATCATGATCCATCGCCCCCAACAACCTCAATCTTCTCCTTGAACTCTCTATCCCCCATCGTCACATCCTTCAGCCTCTTCACAGCCACCAACGTCACCGCGTCAAGCACCGCCTTATACGCCGTCCCGAACGTCTCTTTCCCAAGAACCTCCACAGAAGCTTTCAACAGATCCTCAAACTCAAAAACCTTGTTTGCGTTCCCAAAGAAGACCAATTTCTTCGTCCCTGAGCTGCTCACTTCCACCGTAGAATGCTCATTTGCTTCCACCGGTGATTTCTCCTCCTCCCCCTAATCCCTCATCGCCACCGTCGACGAACTCTCCGATCAGACCTCTTCCGCCGCGCCTCCTCCATCTCCGCTTCTCCTCTTTCACCTTACACGAGAATCATAGAAAAGAGAGTAATTAGGGTCAGTTTTGTAATTTGCCATTAAATGAAAATGGTATATTTGAAAAGTGCGACTAAATTGTGGTATATTTGAAAAGTGGTAGTGTGAAAGTGGTAGTTATGAAATTTTCTCATAACTGTCTTTTATTATAGCAGTATGTTTTGATATTTTTATAATGTTATAATATGTTAATATTGGTAATTTATTATTAAAGCGCTGCAGTATTTCATACTCAACCAGTCATAAGTATTCCGTAAATGCACCAATATTTAATCGTTGTATCAGTCGTACAAATTGCCTAATAACATTAGAAATCGCAACCACCCACATCCGCAAATACCTGTAACCGCAAACCCCTGCAACCGCAACCACTACGTTTCAACTAGTCAGGTCCTTAATCTAATAATAAATTATTAAATAAGCGTTAGACTAATTTTTTTTCCCATTTTAAATGGACACGTTAAAGTAAAGTATTCTTCTTAAAATGTTGATAAAAAATTTATCACTAAAACAGGACATACTGGATATATACGTTATCTGTAAATTTGGCATCTAATCATTTGGGTAGAAAATATTATTTTAGTGGTTTGACTTTGACTTGTAAGAAAACGATTTGAAATTGATTATTTTGTGAGGAAATACTATATCCATAAAAGAATTTAGACACAAGTGAACGTATAGAAATAAATCAGGAAAATCATATAAAAACCTGTCAAACTTTTAAATTAGTTTTTGTATCATAAAAAGCCTTCAATCTGGATTATTTCTTCATAAAATAAATATGATTTGCTTACCTGTAAATAAGATGATGTATTAATTTTATTAAAAAAAAATCAAAATGTTTTCTTAAAAATTAAACTTTTTTACTTTATTGTATATTTTAATTTATTTTAAAAAATTTAATTTAAAGAAAAAATAATTAAAATCATAAAAGCTCTAAGTTTTGCTTTAAAAGTAATAATTTCAAACATATCACTACTAACAGTAACATTTTTTTGTCATATCACCAATAACAGTGATATTTTTTTTTCATATCAACAATAACATATAGACAACAATGGTTTCTAATGCCACTGTCATTAGTGACGAAAAAAATAATTTATAGTTAGTTTATTTTATTAATTAAATAACTAAAAATATCTTGAAAAACTAACCATGTAATTTTGAACATATCGCTACATTTTTCATCATATCTCTAATGACAATGGTATCACAAACTATTATTGTCTATGTCAGAAGTTGCCACTTCGTAATATGATGAAATTTTTTATTAGTAATGGGTATGTGACGAAAAATATTACTGCTAATAGGATATATGTTCAAAAACTAATTCTGAGAAAATTTAAGAGGTTTTATGATTGTTAAACTAAGAATAAGAATTTAAAAATAAAAACCTTTTGGTTTTAAGAAAATATTTGGATCCATTTTGATACTGTCATTTTATTTATTTTTCTAATTTTTATTTATTAATAATTGCTTTTAATCACTAATTTTTTATATAAAAAAAACTGATGTCATCTTATTTTTACTTCATAAACAGTAAATCAGTTGAAAGCTTTAATAATACAAAAACCATCTAGAGGTTTAGTATGTTAGTTAAATAACTTTAAGACTTAAAATGTTAATAAATACCACTTTCAAAAATGTCTATGGGATTTTATTTTGGTAATTGACCCATTTTCTCTCTAGATGGAGATATGGCTATGGTATCCTTTGCATCATGATTTAAAACTAATTATATTTATCTATGTTTTGAAAACATTAATTATTTTGACAAAAATTTTAATTTTAATTTTTTTTATAATTGTGTGTCATTTTTGGATTTGTTTATGATAAAAATGTTTTCAGTTTTCGAATAAAATAATTATGTTATGAACCATTGGTGGAATCAGTCCAATCTTATGATTAATACTGTTATAGGGGTCAATAGTGTAAATATTAGCATATTTTCCTAGTTTTCTTATAAGGAATACAAGTACATTTTTTTAATAAAAATCACATGTATCATTTGACCCCTCTCCTTTAAGGGTAGCTCTGCCATGGTTATGAACCGACATGATTTTTTGTAATATTTTGAACCGATGATTCAAACTCAAATAAATTTATTAATTTATCGAATATTATTTATAAAAGTTTCTACTACAGTGGACATTCAAAGATCAAATGAAAAAACCGAAATAATCTTATGCCAGTTTCTAGGCTTGATCATGACCACTCTAGTGTGTATGAAGCAATGACTTGTAAAATACCCTTGAACCATATTGTAAAATGCTCTTGAACCTTATTGTTTTATTAGTACAAAAATGAAAAACTTATTGTGGAATAGTTTTACTTGGCATCTTATAGGGTCATCAATCTCGTCATGAGTACAATAGTAACACAAATATATCATAGTTTGGGAAAATAATAAAGTAAACATGCGTAGAAACATTAAAAACAAACACTCGATAACTGTTACCAATTTCAGTACAAAAAAAAAAATACTGTTGCCAAAAAGTAAAGCAACCATTTTATTATAACCAAACTTGAAAGTTGAAACTTGAAATCAAACAAAGCATAACATGAAAATAGCATACTACAATACAAGTGAAAACTAATAGAAACAACAACATACACAATTGCTAATATATACCTTTTATTGTAACTAATTATCATGTTTCATTAAATAATAACAACGTTACGATGCATGAGCATGAGCCTCATCACTCATTAGTGATGGCCACCGCCACCATAACCGCCTCCAAATCCTCCTCCACCACCAGCCCCACCGCCGAAGCCTCCTCCGCCACCAAATCCCCCTCCGCCACCAAATCCTCCTCCTCCTCCAGCACCGCCACCGCCCCCAAGTCCTCCTCCAGCACCACCCCCGTATCCTCCTCCAGCCCCTCCGCCCAAACCACCACCACCACCTAGACCGCCACCGCCTCCTAGACCACCACCTCCACCTAGACCGCCGCCGTGGCCTAGACCACCTCCTCCGCCCAAACCGCCACCGCCTCCTAACCCACCACCTCCACCAAGACCGCCACCCCCGCCTAGACCAGCACCGCCTCCTAGACCACCACCTCCACCAAGACCGCCACCTTTTCCTAGACCACCTCCTCCGCCCAAACCGCCACCGCCTCCAAGACCACCACCGCCACCTAGACCACCTCCACCTCCCAAACCCTTTCTAAAACCCTTGTGGAAGAATGGACGAGGTTTGTGAAACAAGTGTTTGTCGTCCTTAACCTCGACATGTCCCAAGGCAAATTCTGCGACAAGAGCGAATACAAAGATACATACACGCGCCCTATGGACAATTAGACCCATTATTAAGTGTTTCGTTGATGGATATGAAGGGGAGAATACAGTTGTGTCGGTGAAGCTTATTAGGCTTGGTCTGTTTATATAGGCATTACTCGTGAGTACGTAGATACATAACCGGTTTTGTCAGCCTTTTTGTTCATTTTCCTATTAATTCCGGTTAGTTTTGTTTCTCTTCATATTCAGATATTATCTATTGATTTTTTTATGATTGATAGATTTCGCATAGGTCGTCTAATTATTTGAATATTAGTAATGAATGTATTTGAATCTGGATTTATGTTAATAAACTTATATGCATTCAGAGTTTAGAGATCCGTGAGGAAAACCGCGCTGAACTAACCGGTGTTCAACTTGTAACAAAACTACCAAATTTTAGCAAAAAAAAAAAAACTTTAAACAAAACAAAGACAATATAATTGGTTGTGTATACCACAATAAAATTAAATGAACTCTATCTGTCATTGGACAATTTATTTATGTCTGCCAACTGCCCAGTTGATCTCTAATCCAACAAAACAAGAAAATGAATTAATTCAAGAACTGATAAATCTATGATATATAAATATGCATACAAAGTGAAGTATATGCATCAATTTCCGATGAAAAATATGAATGAGATACTCTAGAATGTTGGGAGCAAACTGAAATTGAAGGATAGTATGTCCATAAATCATCAGTTAGATAGTAGTTCTTAATAAAGTGCCATTTCTTAACTTATAGTTATAGTTCATCATATTTATGATCCCTCTCATATTTTTTACAAGTCCCATTGACATATAGCGTATTGAGAAAAACTAATTTACCACATGAACATCTGTGTCCTCGATCGTAAAAAATAAAATTGATAAATCGTGGCTGCTTTATTTCCCCTTTATAGTTGGGCATGCTCTAGTAGCTAACTATACTATAAAGCCCCTTAATAATTGAAGGATCTTTTTTGCATTATTCAAACGCTAAATGTGATCTCATTTGGTGAAAAGAATCGATCTCATTTATTGTGTCATAATGTTCAAACCAAAACAGTATAAGTTTTTTTTTTTTTTTGACAAAAACAGTATAAACTTTTCAATTTAGTATGAACCAACACAAAAAGAAAACCGTTACTACCTCCTTTCCTAAGAGCATCTCTAATGTATTATTCAATTTTTTTTTATCTAAAATGGTGTAACTCAAAAATGAGGTTTCATTTTACTTCCATGTATTATTCCATTTTTACTTTAAAGTATAATATTTCCAAATGATCCTTTTATTAATAATATTTTTAACTTATAAAAATTTAACAACTAACCCAACTATTTCATATTTACAAAACTTTAATATAAATATATTTTATTTAAAATAACAATTTATTATTAAATAATAAATCATGAAATATATAATATACAATATTTTACTTTATTAATGCGATTAAAATATTTTCTTACAAATGATCAACTAATGTATTTTGTAATGAACAATGAGATTTATTTATCTTTGATTTCCTAACTCGAACAAAAAAATCTGAAATCACACATTTCATCTCATACAATTTTAGTATCGTAGAGGATCCAAATGTTTGTGCATATATCAAGCTCAACAAGTAAAAATGTTATCAAAATTGAAATGTTGACCTACAAGATAAACAAACTTATATTTTCTGTTTGAACCTTAGATCACTAGTCTCAGTAGTTCGCAAATCAATTTATCAAATAACTAAATTAGTTTTCATAAATATTTATTTTATATCTTTATGTTTAGTTTTAGTTTTTTATTAGTTTATGCATCTTTTCGGTAAATTTATTAAATAATATTTTGTAAAATATCATTTTTAATGTCATTATATTTGTTTAAATATTATTTAAGTATGTAATAAAAACACTAAATTTAAAAGGACTATTTCATAAATAAAAAATCTCAACTCCAAAATGGAGTAATGGACAAGATTACTCCATAAATAGAGTAATCCTAGCCATTACTCCATTTTGGAGTTGGATATGGAGTGGGGTTGGAGATGATTTTACTCCAAAATGGAGTTTGGAGTCAAAAATGAAGTAGAGTTGGAAATACCCTTAAAGTAAGTTTTTTTAGACAGTTCACGCATGTTAAGATAAGAATAAAATGATTATATATAATTAAATTTCTTATTATTTTTATTATACAGTTTTCAATAACTATGAATCATTGTAATTAGAGTTTATGGGTTCGAATTATATCTTTGCACATTTTATTTTTTAACCGGGGATTCTAGCTCTAGTGGTAAAGGGCCTACAACTGTGAGTACCGCTACATGGGTTCGAGTTCCGGCCACTGGAAAATTAACATTTCGGTATCGCCAAGGTTAGAGGACCGACACGTGGCAACACATGACTAGTTTGGATCACTTCTGATAGGCCAGGATACCTCTCTATAATTCAAAAAAAAAATAACTACGAATCAATAATACTTAGTCAATTCAAATATTCTTGATCAATGAATGTTAAAAGTCTACAAAGTACTTTTAAAAATAGAAAATCTATCTTTATTGAACAGGGACAAATCTAAAAAATTCTACTTTCAGGAACGGAGGAAGTAAACTATTAGGTAATAACCTACACAAGAGTGATTATTAAACCAAAACAGTATAACCATTAAATTTGTTTAATCTTGATATCGGTTCGGTTTTAGATTGATTTTGGTTCAGTTTTCAATATTAATTTTGGTTTGTTTGGTTAAAATGTTTGATATTTTTTGTTTTTCGACGATAACCAAAAGTATTATTATTTATTTGATTTCATGTTATATGAATTTTAGATAGTCTTTGATGTCGAACCAAAAGTTTCAATTATAGTTTCTAAATGGATAATAGTTAAAGAAAAGGAAAAAAAAATTATTAATACAAATTATTTAATTTAAATTTGGTCGATAGTGAAAGAAGCATTAAAAAAAAAATTAAACTTCCAAGAGAATTAGATACTTCAGTTATTGAATATTTAGTTATATAGGTACTCATGCCAATCTACACATGTATGTATATGTAAACTATATAAAAGTGATAAATAAATATATAAAATATTGTTAATTAATATTAAGTGACTTTTTTTTTTCAAAATAACATTTGAAAGATAAAATTCTTAAAATAAAGTTAATTAAAAATAAAAAATAGTTCTAGACATTATTGAATATTTTTTACATAAAAAGAAAATAAAATCCGTAAATATGGGCGGGCACATATCGAATATCCAGATATTTGGAAGTATTCGTGTCTATTTAATCCATAGCAACCAAATATTTGGTGTCTCAAATATCTGATTTTTTTTAGGATTTTAATCGATATCCGATTTGATCCGTAAATTAAATAAAAAATAAAAAATGAAAAATCTAAAGTAATATTATTTATTAAATAAAATAAAATATTTCATAACTTTTTACATCCTAATACCTAATATAATAAATTTAATACATAAAAGTATTGTAAAACTTATATATAATATATATAATTCTTTTTTTTATTTGCTTCGTAGAGTTATCTGTGTTTTGGTTCTAATCAAAACGAATAACAAATCGAATCAAAATTTAATATTTTTTCCAGCTCTATCCATAAATAATAAAAATAATATATATATATATATATATATATAAATGGGCTTTCGATTCTTTATCCATTTTGATTCAAACTAAAAATCTGGATAGTGTGAGTTTTACTGGAACTATGCATGTGAGTTTTATATTGAAAAAACCTCGTAAAATACATAGTGTGAATAGAGCTTGGATGAGAAGTGCTCTACACGTGACACATCAGTAAACTCGTTTTCATATCACTGTAAGTGTAACACGTATCCATTATAGTATGAACGCATTTATTACAAAAATTCTATTTTAATATATAAGAGATGTGATATTATGTACTTGCACCCATTTATAAAAAAAAATTGTTTGTTAAATGCACCATATTTTTTTACTAGAAACTCAAGCAATATAAATAGTTTTTTTCTAACAAGAAATAAATTTGAGTGGAAAATTGCATAGTAGACACTCATTTACTACTAGATTAACAATTTGGTTGTTAAAATACACCATTTACCAACTTATTTTTTGAAGACAAAGTCTTATTTTGATAAAATGTTCATATTATACAAAAGGAACATGAGTCTAGTTACAAGAGCTAGAGAAGCAATTAGTTACATATGGCTCAAAAAAACTAGGATGGAATTTTGAATTATTAAACACTGAACTAAGAATAGGCAAGGAGAACCATTGAGCAAGACAAAGACCTTGACACCGTTTATGGGTAAAACGTGCCAAGAGTGTACCGCGGAAAAACCTGTCCAATCGCTTGAAAGACAATCTGGAATATCTTGGTTAGCCACTATAAAAGTTACACCACGTGGTTGTGTAGTAAGTGATGAACAACCTATTGATGAAATTTTACTTGTTGATCCTCAAAACCTAGGATATGAAGATCTTCCAGATGATATAGCGGACGAAGGCAACGAAGATGAATTTGAAGAAACTGATGACATGGATGATGGTTCGGATGATGACGAGAATATATAACCTATAGTTTCGAGTTTGTATTGTACGTGTATTATATTTTCAATATTAATAGTGTTTTCTGAGATTATGAAATTTGGAGTTTTGAAATGATATATTTGAAGTTTAAAGTTTGAGGTTTTAGGTTTGGGGTTTCGGTTTAAACAATCATAGTCCCTAATAAGTCGTAAAATAACCTCTGACTTACGACCAAGTTTGATTATTGGAGCCAATGTGGTAGTAAAATGAAATAGTCCCAAAATAGACGTAAGATAACCTTCATTTTACGACCACACTGATATACATGGTCTCTAAGTCGTCGTAATTTTTTATGGACCCAATGTGGTCGTAACTTAACCTCTACATTACGACCAAACTTAACCTATAAATCTGTTAACCTCTCCATTCGAAAATTCCACAACAAAAACAAAACAAAAAAAAACTTGGAGATTCATAATGTTTAAGATATTTGTGATAATAATATCTTATTCAAATGTTCCCAAAGAGATCTATCAGACGCCTGCGGATTCCTCTCAAGTAACTGAATATATTGGTA